GCCCAAGGGAACAAGAAGAGACACAAAGATAAAGGAACCTGAGACCTGCTGTTCAGGCTTCTTTTTGGGGTTTTGTTTTCCATCCTGTGTTTGCCTGTCTTGCCTGTCTCATTAACTGATATAAGGATGCTAAATTGTTTGAATAAAAACAAATAGTTTGTGTAAGTGGTATTGTTAGTCTCCTCTAGCAAGAACTACAGCCCTCCCTCCAGGTAGACAGAAGAGTGCACCATAAAACACCCGCTGAACCAAACTTATTTAGGCTCTGTCTATATTAAAACTTGCTCCACTACAACCAAAATTTATTTTTAAAATGAATTTAGCCAAACGAACGCAAGTCACTATGTGCATGCTCTTGAACTGATTTAAACCTGGCTTGTATCAATTTAACAAAATGTAGTTACCAATTCCCATGATTTAAAAATCAATGTAAGATAAGTAGGGGTTTGCAGAAGTTTAATGAAGTTGTTTAAAAAATACACCTTTGCTTATGTTGAGTTGATTTATGTCTACATTGCAGACTGAAATGTAGCGTAGAGAGGTCTGAGTTAGCTTGGGATGAGCTAGCTCAAGGGTGTCAAAGATACAGCCTATGGAGTCATTTCACTGGGCCCATGGGGCTCCTGCAGGGGCCTGCCATTGAAGCCCCCTACTATAGATTCCCAAAGGGCATGTGAGCAATGGCTACATTAACCCCCACCCTACCATTCAACCCACACTGCTGCTCACCCTGCAGCCATGTTCAGATCTGGCCTCCAAGGACCCCTGCAATCCAGATCTGGCCTAGGGGCACAGGTGAGTTTAATGTCTCCAAGCTAGTTTCATTAAAAGAAAAAGGTCCCAGCAGTATGGCCTTGTTACATAGGAATTTGAGGAAGCCTCCTAGAGGTTTTAACCCCTGGATTACCCACACACTAACATCCAACTCTAATTTTAAGTACTCATTAGGCAGTTCAGGTTTATCCTGTCAAGTTGGAACAGCTAAAGTGGTTACAACTTTTCCATGGAGAGACAGCCCTAAATGCAGTCCTGCATCTTACTGCCTTCTTGTTACATAGGATGCTTTCATGAACAAGTGTACTCAACTATACCTAAGCTTGCATTTAAAAAAAAAAAGTTTCTAGTCCTTATGATGGTACAGAAAAAAAATCTGAACATGAAGCCACTGTAATCAACGTAGTGCTGTCTTGCTGAATCAGCAGCAGATGCTTCAGTGCCCCTGCTGTTGTTCAAGTCAAGCTTTGCCAAGCTTCAGGAGAGTGAAAAATGATCAGAATATTGAGAAATATGGTATCAAGAAACCCAAGAGAGATGGAAGAGTATGTGGCCAATCTACTATTTAGTAGTTGTAAATCTACTACTATCTTACTGGTATTCCCAGAGTAACCTAGACAAACAGTTTCTGCAGCAGCATTCAACAAGCTAAATAAATACTACTATGTGAATATGCTGATCAGTTAATATGGACAAGTTATTAAATAATATGTTTTATATATATTGTTTAGTTACTTGACCAGTGCTAGTAACAAGCTACAATGTTTAAATGCATTAAAAGAGAAAGTGAACAGACAATATGTAAGAATCTGTGACAAGCTGGACCTCAAATCTGTGCCCCCATCTGCAGATTCATTTAAATGGAAAATCTGAGGTTTTAAAATAGATTTATTATGTATTTAATCATTGCAATAACCCCAACATTCTGTTCTGTTTCAGTTTTTATCTCACCTTTATCATCATAGGTTTTAAATCTGTTCCGGTAGTGTAGGGTGTTCATTTTGATATTAATTTCAATACATAAAACCCTACCCCTATCCCCTGCTGCAGAAGTCAGTACTAACAATATACAAAGGAATCCCAGAACTGACAGATGTAAAAGAAGAGGCTTTTAGCAACTAATATAAGACCCTTGGGCCATTTATAGACATGCTCTGGGAGGGGGGAGGTGCTTTAATTAAAGAGCCATTCTAATTTAAAGTGCCTGAAGCATCACATGTATTAATGTTCCTGGGCTGAAAATGGTGGCAAGGACACTTTAAGTAAAGCTCATCTAACCAGCTTTAGTTTAAAGCATCTCCACCACCATTTTTCCATGCAGGGTCACTGATACACTTGACGCTGGGGTCTTCTAGAGCAAAGTAATTACTCAATTAATTGAGTCTGCTCTGATGCATTGTAATTACAACACATCAGCACAGCCTCGCTGCATGTGTATAGGTGCCCTGGGAGTTTCTAATGCCTCAGAAGGAACAGGAGGCAGTTTGGGATTGTAAAATAAGCATGTCAGCTGGCATTTCTGCCAAAAGAACTGGCAGGGAAATTGTTAATGATGTTTCCTCTCAAGCTACATTGCTTCATGAATTACACTCATACTTATTTTGAAGTTTCTCTCAGATTAAGAACTGAGAAACTAAGATTTTTGACATGCTTCTGTGGCAAAAGGTGAATCTGGAAAAAAATTTCACTCATAGAAAAAAATTATTAGCTGTGACAGAAATATTTTTAAAGAAATAACAAAAATATCAATTTCATCTTCCTTGGTGAACAGATTCTGTGGATGGCTAGAAAAAGGGGTGTCAAACTCACCCCCACCCCTCTGAGTTGGATCCAGACAGCAGAGCTCCTCACAGTCCAGATCCGGATGGGGCAGCAGGGATTTACCCATTCCCAATGACCCTCTGTGCCCCACACTTCAGTGGTAGAGCTCTCTAGAAGCCCCGTGGGCCATGTGATGTGGTTCTGCAGGCTGGCTCCAGGCACAGGCTGTAAATTTGTCACTGACTTAAAACATTCTTAGGCCTTCAATGAAGGGACAAGGGTGTTATAATCTTATCAAAGAGAGCTTCAAAAGTTCAATAAAGTCCCTAGCCTCTCTCATTTAAATCAGGTTTTCAAATCATTAATATACTTGATAATGCTTGTAGTTCTACAATCAAGACATGAAGCAGAAAACAAAAAGGGGGTGGGAGGGGAGTTTCATGCTTTCTTTATCTATTAGGAGAAGGGGAAGTAAAGGAATAGGAACCCAGTATTTCTCCTTTGCAAATACGAGTTGTTACCAGAGAGTTTCTAGCATGTAGTGCTTCAAGTGGTCTCTCATCTCCCATCAGGAGAGATGAAAGAAATGCAGAGATGAACAGATAGGTGCTTCCTCTCTACCTGGAGAGCACCTGCTCAGATCAAGATAAGAGCACTGCAAGCTGGGACCTGTTGTTCCCATCAGTCCCAAATCCTTGTTATAGATGATGGGGAGCTGCAATCTGCTTCATGCACATTTATTGTTGCCCTGGGCTCCTAGTAAAGAGCGAGGCACTTTTTATATGAGGCAAAAACTGGGTAGGTATGCATGCATTTTGTATGTGTTATGTTATCTGCCATAGGACTATTAAAAAACATGCACACAATGAGACTTCCCACTGAATAAATGCAAGATTAGCTTGAGCTACTAAATGAACACCATAAACATTTACAAGAAGCTCTGATGGGACTGCATGGGCAATTTGGGCTGATCACAATTAATGTGGTTTTGCCATTTCCTCAGGCTGTGATAAAGTAGCGGCTGTTTTACATGCATGGTATTCCCTGTACGCTACAATGTATTTGTTGTTTGTTGTCTTTTTTCCCCTTCAGTGGCTGGTGAGGGAATTTTGAATATTTCCCTCATTAGTGAGTAAGTCCTCCCACTCAGTCCACATATGTGTCTTGAACATCCCTTCTCAAATTTGCATCAGGCACTCAGATCCTGCAGTAATGAGGACTAACTGCTAGCCAGAAAGGGCTAAACTCCACAGAACATGCAGCAGCCAGTGCCTGCAAAGGGATGTGAACCTGGACTCTCGGACTAAGCAGTTGAATCTGTACTAAGCTACCCAGGCACCAGAAACATGGGATCCATTTCTCAATTTTTCAGTACATATAGTAGGCCTTTGCACCTATTACTCCATGAGAAAGATTGACTCTTCTCTTACACACGAACAGAAGATTCACTATGCACTGATTCTGTGAGCTTTCAAATGTTCTTTTGCGCACATCTTTGGATATGGTTTTGGGGCACGAAGCAGGGTTTATGCCATGGGTTCCCTCGAGTTCTTCATAATATGAATAGGTTGCAAAGCACTGAACCACATACTTGTATAGTTTTGTCTTCATATGTTACTCAATGAGCAGGAGCAAAAAAGTTCTATTATGATGGCTTTGTAGGTGCCCCAGATGGGACCCCAAGAGCTGAACTAGTCCCAGAAACAGAAGATTTGCCAGGATGTGCCCCCTCTCTAAATGACAGGTTGGGACTTTCCAAATGAATCCCTTCTCTGTGGCGCACAGGCTGCAGGCAGCGAATGGGAAGAACAATGCTGATATGCCCTGGTGTGCGCCAAAGGGGCGCAGCAAGGAGAGAGGCAGCTCAGCATGTGCTGCAGGGCCAGGGGAACTGGCCAAGAGAGCTGCCCCTAGGGTCAGGGTGAGGATAACAGCTGGCAGCCCCAGTGGACAGGAAACCGCAGCCTGCACTGGCGCAGCAAGTGGACCTGCCATGCCAGCCTGCCTGACAGCTACAAGGGCCAGCAGGGCAAGCTACCGCTCTGGAGCCTGCACGAGAACGGGGCCAGAGGAAGTGTCCCAGCATGCCCTGCCTGGGCTAGTAGGGCCCTGATATCCCAGCATCCTCTGGGCTACATGAGGTTAACATCCCAGCATGCCCTGGGCTATGAAGCCCTGATATCCCAGCATGCTCTGGGTTATGTAGGGCCCCCAATATCCCAGCATGCATTAAGCTACATGAGACTCTAACATCCCAGCATGCCCTGGGCTAAGAAGCCCTGATATCCCAGCATGCTCTGGGCTGCAAGGATGTGCCCGAAGTCCCAGCATGCAGTGGGGCTGGGAAGACGGAGGGGCTCGCTATCCCGGCATGCACCGGGGCAGCCTAAGGCCACGATGCCCCGGAAGACCCTGGGGTGGCAGCGCGACTGCAGCCCCGTGTCCCCTCGCGCCTCCGCACTCACTATGAACGACGCCATGTCCGAGGCGGCCGCTCGCGGAAGCCGCCGCGCGAGGTCCGGCCGGACTCGCTCCCGAGTAGCTTCAGAGACGCTCGGGCCTTTCCGGCGTCGCGCCCGCTTCGGGGCTTCTCGGGTGTTTCCGCCCCCTCTGGCTCAGGCGGCTCCGGGCGGCGCAGCCGGCGCTCGGCAGCTTCCGGATGCACTCGGGCGCGGGGGGCGGAGCAAGCCTTGCAGCCTGGGCAGGCCTGGGTGGAGGAGGCCAGCGCCCGAGGCAGCCGCCTCCGCCTGGCCCAGTCCAGCCCCGGCTGTGTGGGATGGGAAGGGCTGCACAGGGGGTTGAACGGAGACCTGCCGAGCTCGTTGCATGCCAGGCCCTTCACTTGGCTTTGCACTGCTCTCCCGCTACCCCTCCCCGCTGGGTCCCCTTGACCGTACCGCTTCTTTTGCCCTCCTCTCACCTGGCTGGAAAATATGCCATGAACCTCCTGCTCTAGAAAAACAGCGTCGTGACTCCCGCTGTAACCTCCAGTAAGTGGTGCGCGTGCGTCCTGCGCCTCAATTTCCCTCCAGACCTGGTGTCATTCAAAGGTGACTTTTTTTCTGCTCTGAAATTCTTCTTTTGCATCAGACAAAGGGAGCAGCCGTTCACGTGCAACTGTGACAGCTTTGCCTTTGCTATTAAGATCCTCCAGCTCTAATTGATTACCCGGAGGTGTTTTCCCTTTTGTGTTAAAAGTTTAAATAAAATCTTTTTTTTTAAAAAAAGGATCAGTGTTTTGGTAGAGGAGGGATTTCAAGGAAATGTTAACAAAAATGCCAACTCATGCCTGCCGCAGCAGAATACAGAGAGTTAAATAATGCATCTGCTGGCTTCCCCTGCTTTCATTAGTAGCTGTGAGGATGTGTAAGTGTTGAGTTAGCTACAGCAGGGTGCTTTATGTGGAGTAGGAAAATATAATAAGGATTTCAAGTTAAACAAAAAACTCGGTACCAAAGGGTTTTGGTTGCCAAAAAATGCACCTCGTCCACAGCAGGAATTTTATATACTGGAATTTCATAAAGGGACGATCTTGTGTGAATTGGCCTCAACTCTGCCAAGATTTTTTTTTCACTTTCTCAGTCTAGAAAAGAAGATGCTGCTGCTGACGGCTAATTTTTAAGATGGGGGGCATAACAGTGATTTTTTTGTTTGTTTTATAATAAACTAATTGAACCATCACATGCTGCGTATACTGGACCTGAGTACATGCCTGATTGCTCTGCTGCGTATTTCCTCCTTTTGTTCCCTCATTTCTTCCCTGTCGTTTGTCACTGGTGCTGGCCAGAACTTTGATCTCAGTTCTCCATGAGAGGGGACACATTGCTTTGTGTATAAGGTGCCTTGTATGCTTTTGGATACCTTAGGAATTAAATACAACTGGGATTTTCAGGGAAGTTAAGCTACGTGTGTGCCACAGTGCCTTGGATTCCTGTGAATCCAAGTCCAAAATGATAGAGATCAGGGATGGCACCAGTCAGGGAATAGGTCTGCCCCCCTCCAGCTACCTGGCAGGAGGGGCTTTGGAAGTGTAGGTAAAGGCATGGATGTTGGACACTGGTGTGTCCGTGCAGAAATTTCTCTGTTCCTGCTTCTGTCTCCATCACTTACTCATGATTTTTCCCTGAAAGGAAGCCCCAGGGCTTAACAGGAAAGTCAAACACAATTTGCTATGATTCCTTGCTCCTGGGAGGGAGGGGTGGAGGGTGGAAGGAACTCTTCTGTCATGCTCTGGTGAAGTGCCTGAAGACTGGAAGAAGGCCAATGTGGTGCCTATCTTCAAGAAAGGGAGGAAAGTGGATCCAGCAAACTATAGGCCCATCAGCCTGACTTCTATCCCAGGGAAGACCTTAGAAAAGTTTATTAAAGAGACCATCCTTCATGGACTGGCTGACACCAACATCCTACGGGATAGCCAGCACGGGTTTGTTGCGGGTAGGTCTTGCTTGACCAATTTCCTTCTATGACCAGGTGACCTATCACCTGGACAAAGGAGAAGAGATTGATGTCATATATCTTGATTTCAAAAAAGCCTTCGATCTGGTGTCCCATGATCGTCTCTTGGCGAAACTGGCCAATTGTGGCCTTGAGTCCACCATGATCCGCTGGCTGGGAAATTGGCTCCGTGGTCGGACCCAGAGGGTAGGAATTGATGGTGCCCTGTGACCAGTGGGGTCCCCCAAGGCTCTGTCCTTGGACCCATATTGTTCAACATCTACATTAATGATGTGGACATTGGAGTCAGAAGCAGACTGGCCAAGTTTGCCGATGACACCAAACTTTGGGGCAAAGCATCCACACCAGAAGACAGGAGGGTGATCCAGGCTGACCTTGAGAGGAAAAACCTGCAGCATCCCTATAGGCTCAGCAGTGCTACACTGGGTAGCACTACGGAAGAAAGAGACTTGGGGGTCATCATTGACCACAATGAACGTGAGCCTGCAATGCGATGCTGCAGCTAGTAAAGCGACCAAAACGCTGGCTTGCATCCATAGATGCTTCTCAAGCAAATCCCAGGACGTCATTCTCCCCCTGTACTCGGCCTTGGTGAGGCCGCAGCTGGAGTACTGTGTCCAGTTTTGGGCCCCGCAATTCAAAAAGGATGTGGAGAAGCTTGAGAGTCCAGAGAAGAGCCACGCACATGATCAGAGGTCAGGAAAACAGACCTTATGATGACAGGCTGAGAGCCATGGGGCTCTTTAGCCTGGAAAAGCACAGGCTCAGGGGTGATCCGATGGCCACCTATAAGTTTATCGGGGTGACCACCAGTATCTGGGGGAACATTTGTTCACCAGAACACCCCAAGGGATGATGAGGACGAATGATTACAAACTACTACAAGATCGTTTCAGGCTGGACATAAGGAAGAATTTCTTTACTGTCCAAGCCCCCAAGGTCTGGAACAGCCTGCCATCGGAGGTGGTTCAAGCACCTACATTGAACACCTTCAAGAGTAAATTGGAATCTTATCTTGCTGGGATCCTATGACCCCAGCTGACTTCCTGCCCTTCGGGCGGAGGGCTGGACTTGATCTTCCGAGGTCCCTTCCAGCCCTATTGTCTATGAAATCTATTAAATCTATGCAGAGAAGATTATAGCAGGGCTGTCCTCCTACCAGGCACCTGAGCATCATGCCTGGATTCTACAATACAGAGAAAAGGACTCCAACAATCATCTTTAAGTGGTAGCTTGCAAAGATGAGGAGGCCCAACAGCCAATGTTCCAGCTGGATTTGAGTGTCCAGACCACCCTGTGCTCTGGGAGCCACAGTGTCCATGAGCTTCATTGAAGCAGTAAAAAAAGGCAGCAACTGAGAGACAGAGAAGCAGCACCTGCTCCATCTCTTACTTTAAACTAGGGATATCAAACTCACCCCCTATTCCTCACCAGATCTAGACTGCTCTGCAGAGCTCCTCATGGGGTGGATCTGGACCTGGCAGTGGCTGGGCGGCAGCAGTGGGTTGGACAGCGGTAGGGCAAATGGCAGAGGGACAAACAGCCCTGGGTCACCACTGTCCTTGCTCACCCCTCTGCTGCTGACAGCCATGCCCAGTGGAGCCCTGTAGCCTTGAATTCTGCAACAGGCATTGCTGCTGTAATTCCTAGCCCACTCAGAGCCCTGTGTAGACTTGAACTGGCAGGTAGCCTACCAAGCAGTCCTCATGCAAGCATAGAAAAACAGCATGGGGCAGAGGCCCATCCAACTACCCCAGGCAATTCTGCTAGTGGGAGGTAGAAACAATTGACTGCGTCCTCTGGGACTGCTGGTATGCCAAAGAGGTATGGAAGAGAGTTGGTGTACTCCTCCTGGTGGTGACAGGTCTCGTAAAACCGACCAGAGAGGTGGTTCTGTACGGACACTTGACTAAGCAGCAAGAGGCCCTGACAGTCCACTTCAACCAATTCAGCTTCAGAAACGCCTTTTGAAAGATCATGCACCCTTCATCAGGCTCAGGGAAAGTTCAAGATGGTAAAAAGTCCCCATGTGTAGGAAATAAACTTCATTTTTGCACAGAGGAAGCAGAAGCTGGAAAACTATCCCTCTGGGTCCATGAGAGTCTCTTTATGAGCTTGCTCTGTTGTGTACATCAAGCAGGATTTCTTCCCTGGTGGTGTCAGATGGCAGGCAGGGAGGTGTAGAAATATTTGTTGTGCAGCAAGGAAGATAAGGAAGATCAGGAACTCATTCAAAAACAGGCACACAAACCTACCAGTCGAAGACTGTATTAAGAGTGTGCCTGAATGAGATGTACTGCTACTACAGGAAGATGGTAGATGAGGACGGGAAAGAGATGGTGGACATAATATGGAAGAGAGGGGACTGGCACAGACTTTTCAGAGGTGAGCCGTCCAAAGACAGCAACAACAGTTTTGGGTGCCGTACTTCAAGAAGGATGTTGATAGACTTGAGAGGGCCCAGAGAAGGGCCACTCGTATGGTTAGGGACTTACAGGACAAGCCCTATGAGGAGAGACTGAGGGACTTGGACCTCTTCAGCCTATGCAAGAGAAGTCTTAGAGGTGATCTTGTGGTCGCCTACAAATTCATTAGGGGGATGCAGCCAGGGATCGGAGATGCTTTGTTCACCAGGGAGCTTCTTGCGGTAACAAGGAACAATGGTCGCAAACTGACAGAGAGCACATTTAGGCTAGATATCAGGAAAAACTTCTTCACAGTAAGGGTGGCCAAAATCTGGAATGGGCTTCCAAGGGAGGCGGTGCGCTCCTCTACCTTGGGGGTCTTTAAGAGAAGGCTGGATAGGCATCTGGCTGGGGTCATCTGACCCCAGCTCTCTTTCCTGCCTAGGCAGGGGGCCGGACTCGATGATCTGTTGAGGTCCCTTCTGACGCTAGCATCTATGAAACAAGGATGACGACAATGACAATGATGAATATGACCAAAAACAAAAGGACTGAACAAACAGGAGGGGGATTTGGGAGTGGGGAGTGGACTGAGGTAGTCCTTTGCATAATTGTGATAGGTACATGGGAACATGGTGTGTGGTCTTTGTAACAGGACTAAGGATGATGTAACTGTAGGAGTGTTTTTGGACTGTCAAATGAACCATGGTGGTCACAAGACAGGTTGTTAGATGTACAGTTATATATCAATATCTATATTTATTTATTTATTTATTTTTAAAAGAGTCCTGTAGGCTGAAGGAAACAGCTCTGCAGGCTGGATCTGGCCTACAGGTCATATGTTTGACACCCCTATCTTAAACAATGCTGCTATGTTCTGCATTCATGGCCCCGAAATCACAGCAGAATAACACTGGTAATATGACAATGTTTGCAGAAATTACTGTAGAATACTGTAGTATGTTCGTAAGAGTTGAGTTGTCCCTTGAGGTCCTTTGTCTCACCAGCACTAAATCTTCATTATCCCTTTATAACTCCTTCTTTTTAAAAGCAAATGGAGTTAATAGCATATCTCTTATGTCACAAGCCAAGCACATACATCTGAGTAGCTATTTAATTGCATTGTCAGCACCATGGAGTGGTTGAGCACATATTGAGTAACAGGGACATTTGTTACCATTCAGCATAGGTTATTACATAGCACCCTAATGGTTTGACATGGGCTTTCCCAACCTCATGAAGATCTCATCATGTGGAACCTGGATGTTTTTTGTTTTATTGCCTGGATTCCCTAGGGAGCCAGCTGGATACATTTCATC